GGGGGGCAGGGGGCGGGGGCCGGCCGGCGGCGCGCTCTCGCTCTTGCGCAAGCGGGTTGCGTAGGTGCCCCGGGGGACACCCCCCGGGGAGCGGCGCCGGGGCCGCGTTATGCCCGGGAGCAGTTCCACATAATTTAAACTAGATTTCCTCAGCTAAGTTTTTTTTTTTTTGTTAAAAATCGATGGTACTGGGGCTGCTGATACACGAATGTGTGGGAAGATGCGAGAAGCGGTGGCTGCAGTGCCACTCAGCAGTGGGTTCTTTTCCATCTCGTTCGCTACGCCCAATTCCATTTTTGCATTATATTTTTTCTTAATTTTTTTTACATGTACTTAACTACACTTTTTTTTTAACGTATGCTAACTCAGTTTTCACGATGCAAGGTGACTTGCCTGTGAAACTGGTATCACCTAAAAGACCGTGATAGGTGGAAGTGGCTTTTTTAGCTGTATCAAACAATACAGGAATGAGTTTGGCCACAGCAGTGAACTATCAATGAGCACTGAAATCCAATCTGCTTCATGAGAAAGAAGAAAAAAAAAAGCAAAGCCCTTCAGTTTTGCTGAAGGCTGCAATTTTGCCAGCATCTATGTAAGTACGCTGGAAATCAGGAACAAATTAATGTTGTTCTTAACCTTCAGTTACCCAATCTAAACAAACCGAAGTGCCAAAGTTAATGAAGTTTACCATATATCACTTTACCTGATAGTACTCGTCTGTTTAGAGGGGACAGTGCAACACCGTCTATCTTTTCTCACATTCCTCTGGCAGCATTGTTTCTTGTGCAGTTACGTCCAGTAAGGTCAACCTTTACTCAGTCCCTACATTTTGATACTTAAGACATCCCCATAGCAATCATAATCCCATTTTGTATTTTATATATTTGCTTAGAAAAGTATTTTTATGCAATTATGAACTATGGGAATATTTGGGAATCAAGGCTTTCAAATTACTTCTTAGAAGCAATGGAAGTATTGTGATTATTTTACTCATCCTAACCCAAACTTTTTAAGTCCAAGCAAATTTAATCAGTACTGTCATGGGAACTAGAGGAAGCTATGAGTTTCATTTGAAAACAAACCAACCCAAATGCTGATATTTTGACCACTGAGGTGTTTCCTGGCTGTTCTATAAAAAAAAAAATACCCACACTAAATTCATCAGATTCTGCAGTGCAAACAACAGGGGCAGATGAACAGCAGCTAAGCTGACATTTTCTTGTTCCATCTCTGTCCCGTTTAGCATCAGATACCCCCAGAAGCAAGGGGACTGCAGAGGGTTTATTTAAAAGGATCTTTTTTTCTTTCTTTTTTTAGGAGCTTCATTGCAGAACATAACCTATAACTGGCTTAATTTTGCACTAATGTCAACAATGTATCACATAAAAAATTCTTACCTTTTTGATAATACTCATCACTGCTGAAAATACAGATTTTATCAATTCCCCGATCTCAAGAGCATTAAAGCACAGAAGTATCTGATATATCCAGCCTCCTTCTGGTTTGTTCATAAGGAAAAAAAAGGTTACATTACAATTGTCAATATAATTCCAACTTCTTTTTTTTAAGATTGCAAATTTATTTTCCTTAAAATTAAGAAACTTAACACTTACCATTACTTGGAACATAGTTCTGTATGGCATCTGAGAAAGGCTTTTTGACATCAAATGGAGAGTCAACTACTGAACTGTCCATGTTTTCTTCAGAATTTACTGAAGGAATCGCTGTTGCTTTTGAATGTTGGTCACTGTCATGTTCACTGTCTACAGCTGCATTCATTTCATGTTCCTTCTCTGGTGTTTCTTCTAGTAGCTTTCTTCTACTGCCTACTTCTGTAATTAATTGTGAAGGGAAATCATGGTTATTTTCAGAGGATTCAACTTACACACTTTTATGAGATACTAACCTCTGTAGAGATTTTGATTTTTTTAAATTTTATTTTCCTCAACTTAAAGCCAAAGACTAGAGCGCTACATGAGAGTAAAAATGTGCTACAGGTTTATGATTTAAGAAATACTGGTTCAAATAATGGTCTCAGAACAGAGTTTGGAGGATAGGGCTTTAAGCAGAACTAGTGATGTAGTAAAGTAGTTAATGTTCAGGAAAAAATATGCTTGGTTTTGATAGTTAGCTTATAGATTCCCTGTTCAGGATTAGTAGGTCTCTTTCTGATACTATATCCAAATACAAATGGGAAAAGCTTTACAAAAAGAACAATTAAAAATGCCATGTAGGATTGAAGATTACCAACTTCCCACAAGATAACGAACTTCACTGCGAAATACAAGAAACCACAGGCATGTTCATGCAGAAGTATGACCGAAGGCACCTAGCTGCCTCAGTTTCAGTGACTTGGAGTAAGGTTCCTGAAGCAAATAAAATACTGCTTTCAAAAAACCCCACACCTTGCTTACCCATGTAGAAAAAAAAAAAATACCGTTTACAAATTGATTAGTTTTTAATTCTATGCTTCAAGCCACTACTGGCCAAAGATACCCATTACAAATAGTCCGATAGTTGAAAGTCAGGAAGAGTAACTGGCTCTTAAACTGTTGCCATTATATTAATTCAATCTGTATTATCAGATCCTCAAAATATCATAAATCAGTCATTAACTACTATGAGTTAGGCTCGCTACCTCTTGATTTTAAATCACCAGAAGGAGACAGTGTTGTGTCTGTTGTATTTTTTCCCTCAAACAAAGCATATTTTGTTCTTGCTAAATCGTTGTTAGTGAAGCATTAGTCCAGTACCTTTAGCTGCAGTTTGGGCTGCACACTTAATTGTTACAGCAGACAAAAGCTCTCGCAGCTCTAGAAGAACATTCCTTTTTTTCATACATTTTTCCTGCACAACGTCCAAATTGTGCCCCTTTTGTGCAGACGCAATCACTTGTTTCCTCTGCGTAACATTGTCTTTACATGAGTAAGCTGTGATGTCATGATGAATCTTTCCAAATTGCTGCTGCAGCTGCATCAGTTTGCTTCCTTCACCGAGATGCTCTAAGGGTTGCTTAACATCTTGTTTTAACTTTCAATAAAATTGTTGGAACGTAATCAATGGGTTTGGTAAATCTGACTGTTTATCATACAATATTTGCCTGGTTTTGCTTGGTTTTTGGGACATGAACTCTGTCTGCCCTACTATGATTTTGTCAATGTCCTTGTTTTTGCTGGATTCTGCAGCAGTATTTTTTCCAAAATGCCAAGCTGTCCTTCCTCAAATTGGTTTTGCATGATTTCTAAATTGATTTCATAATTTTCTGCACCTTCTACAGATTTAGTAGTATCTTTTTCTTGCTCAGATTCCTTTTCTCTTAACTCCATCTCATTCTTCTGTGCAGTATTTAATTCTACTAGTCCTAGTGTCATCCCTATTTTCGTTTGGGTTTTTTTGACAAAACATGTATCCTCAGACTTCTTTCTACAGGCTTAATTGTTAGTTTTATTAAATATATTTGCAAAGAACCCTGGTGGTCTGGTAAAAATACTACCTGGAACCCTTTCTGTTAGAATATAATTTTTGTTATTTATATTTCTGGACTTTGACTCTCTCTGATTTTCAGATTCATTCTTTTTTTCTTTCCTTCTCCTATCTTGTTTTAGTAGCAACAATTAATTTTTCAGTATTATCCATCCTTTCAGTTACAACAGTATCTTCTTTTTCAACATATACTGTATCAGCCAGGTTTCTGAGAAATCCCAGGTTGCTGGGATTGAATTAATCTAGTTTTTTTAATAGCAGCCTGGCTTTGTAGTTCGAGGGTTTTAGGAGACACTAACTGTAATGCCTTTTTTTTTTTTCTTTAAAATTGTCTTCTATTTTAGAGGGCTTCTAGGATAAAAGTTCACATTCAGTCAGACTAATATCACGACTGCTCTGTTGCTTTTATTGTCAATAAATTTTCTTTATAAATTTTTTTGGGGGCTTGGATTCAGCTGATGACTTTGGTATTACTGTGCCTTTTGAAGTAGTGTTTGATGATGCCTTCCAAAACTCAGATTCATTTTCTATGTTTTTGTATCTTGCACTGTCATAACAGCTTGAATTGATGAGCCTAAATATGATGATACAGAATAATCTTTTACTGTATCACATGTGATTTTTATATTTCTTTCTAAGATGTGGATTAAGACTGTCCTCTGACCTGTTCTCTGGTACCAGAAGCTCATGTTGGGAACATGAATCTTCCCATGTTATTTCTGCTTCACCTTTCTGATGGTGTTGCATGTTCACAGGAGTTGGTTCAGTTTGTAATTCTCTCCTGACAGGCTATCAGCAAGAGCATCAAGTGTTGTCCTATCTTTTACTAATCTGGTAGATGTTGTTGGGTTTTTTTTCCTCCACTGCCCTGCTTGTTATTTTGCACTGCCTGCTGAAGAGAAAGATCATTCTCTTTGGAGGTATCTGCATTACTGTTAGCCGATTCATTATGTTTAACCTTCTGATTTGAGGTGCCTTCAGTTTCTTTTCCCCGTAGTATTTTATCAAGGCTTATACTGAGGCTTTTTTTCATTATGGAAGCTTAGTTCTTCTGTTCTCAGCAAGCAGTTTTTACCTTCCATTCTGAAACTCCATATGTCTTCCAAGTGGCCAATTTCTTCAGAAGTTTTGGTACCTGTTAAACTGAAGCCACTAGATGAGGGGTGAGAAGAGAAAGGTTGGTCTGGAGTCAATTCTTGGGACCCCTCAGATTTCTGATCCTGTTCATCATTAAAAAGATCCTGACTGAAATCTTTGATGTTGTTTTCATAAAAACCCAGTGGATCATTTTTATTCTCTGGTTTGTGAATTTTCTCTTTTACATCACCATCTGTTTGGAAGTGGCTTTTCGATGCTGAATTTTGTTCTGTATCCCAACATTCGACTGGTTTGCTTTTCTCAGATGTTTCCAGAGTAAGACTCGGTTCACTGTCACACAGGGTCTTCTTGATGCCCAGATGATTATCTGCAGTTCCTTGTAATTCCCCATAATTTGGTAATTCATTTTCTGAATTTACAGATTCTTGAATACAACTGTTCAGGTTATTTTGTTCTTTTTGCACTGTTTCAACTGTTTCCATTTTTGATTTTCCCTGCAGATGAGTTCCAGTTTCCACTGTATTTTCAAAATTTAATTTTGAAGGTAAATGTAGAGAATCTTTGGAGACAGGGTCATTATAATAACCTTTTATGTTGGTGTTTTCCTGACTTTCACTACTCTTAGAAACACGTTCTTCAGCACTGGAATAACTAAACAAGGGTACATATTGTCTTTGAGATACTTCAGGTTGTACTAGTGTTTCCACAGATAAAATTTGTGAAGCATCACTATCGCTGACTAATTTGACAAAATGTTTTGCTTTTTCATTACTGCGTTCATTATTTTGCACAGCTAGTGAGGAAAACAGCTTGCTTTCTTGGATTGCACCCTCATCTTTTTCAGACAGCTCCTCACTAACTCTCCGATTTACTTGTCTTTTCATTGCTCTGTTATTATTTCCTTGTAATATTTCATCATGTTCAGTTTGAGGGGTTTCTTCACTAAAAAATGCATCATCTTGCAAACGCTGCACTTGCTCTTCTTTGGCTGTTGAACTCCGAAACTTCAGTATGTCTGCAAAATTACTAAAAGAGAAGAAATGGCTCTGTTCTTCAGCTATGTCAGGCTTTTCTTCTGTATTTTTTATGTCTGAGGGATCACAATTCTGAAGTGGGCTAGGAGGAGAAGAAATCTGATCTGATACAATTGATTCATGTCCCTGTTGATTATCATATGTGTCCATATTATAATTAATAAAGTGATTATAGATATTTGTATACCAACCTGACTGGCCATGTTTGCTTTCTGACTCCTGATTTCTCTTTTTAGCTTCAATGTTTTTCAGCAGTTGGCTTTCTGATGCCAAGTCTTGTTCTGAACTGTAAGGTTCAATTGGCTTCTCTTTGTCACCTGTTAGTATATCAAATGATGATTCTGTGCTATTTGAGGTGCTTTTGGTGTCATTAAGGGTACGCACACTTGCTGGTATGTCCCCAGAATTTGGCATGTCACTGTTTGAATCTATTATTTCTTGTGCATAATTCTCTTCGTCTTCACCTGTCACTGCTTTAGCTGTCTCCTTTGATTCTTTGTCCGTGTGTGGTTCTTTCTGGTCTAAAGTCTGCACTTCTTCATTCTTCTTTGCTTCATCCTCTGTTTCTCTGTTTTGCTGGTCTTCCATAGCAATTGTATCTTTCTCAGTATGGCCAAAATTAAGAACATTGCTTAAACCCAGATTAAACCAATTTGATTCGGGTTCTTGGCTTTCACTCTTTTCTTCTTCTGTCAATAACTCTGTGATTGCTGTTTCCTGTTCATTATTGGAATGTCCAGGCACACCAGAAACATCATGGATTCGTGGATCATTTTTTTCTGATGCCAAACCAAGATCCACATTCTCTTCACCGAAATACAGAAAGTCTGTCAGTCCACTTTGAAACCAAACAGATACCGGGGGTTCTTGTTCCTCATCATTTGGCTCCTGTAAGTCATTTTCAGCAGTTACCACTATTTTTCTGCCTCGGTACGTATTTTCTTCTAAAGATTCAGTAGTGGCTTTTAAGGGCTCTTCACTGTTCTTACTTCCTGTGGTGAACCATCCTGCAATCCAACTAGACTGAGTTGGAATGGGTTCTAGTGGGAGACTGTTTTGCATTTGTGGCTCTTCAGTATCATCTTTTCTGTTCTCATTTTTTCTAACCAATGTCTTGCTTGTAGACTCCTCCTGAGTGTGAGATTCCTTGGAATCACTTTCAGACACTGATTCAACTCCTTCTTCCTTTTGCATGGAGTCTCTTGAATATTTTAAGAGTTCATTTTCATGCAGCTTTGATTCTGCATCAGATGATGAATATTCGCTTTGTTTGTTGTGATCATTTAATGCACTATCTTCATTTTCAAAAGCATACTTGTCTCCATGAAGACAAAGGAAATCAGTTTCCTAAAAGAACAATATTGACTTTTAAAATGTTTTCATGTGTAATTTTCTACAGCACTGTGTAGCACAGCAATATATCTTTATTCTCTTCCATTGTATGCAGTTATACGTGTGTATAACTTTACACAAAGGACTGTAAGTAATTCTATTATTCCTAATGGTCCTGTATCATTTATTAGATAAAAATTATTTTAGAGGACAATAAACACGCAAATGGAGCAAAAACAAAAAAAACATGTTTTGAATTACCTGAAAGAAAATAATCATAGACACTTGAATTTCTAACTGGGTATTAGCTTTTCAATTGCTGTGAACTACATCGGAAAATCTGGTGATGTTTGTTTACCTTAGTGAGCACTTCAACTTCTTCTGCAATAAGAACTTCCTCAACCTTCACAGCATCTTTTGGGAAATAGCCAAAATCCTTTCCTTTCTGTAAAAAATATAAAAGGAATGAGAGCATTTAAACTTCAGCAATAAGTATGTTAGGTGCTTGCATATATGCTAGAAAAGTATGAAAAAACAAATAATAAGTTTATAGGACTGCCCCCTGCCCCCTTCATTTTGTTTGGTCAAAAGATTTGTGAAGGAAGAACAAACGAAAGTGTCCCATTTGCCATTTCAGAAAGCAAGGGGAAGTATATTACTCCATACTATTATTTTCTGTATTATTTTTATGAACGCGTGTTTGTGCAGAACCAAACCAGTTGCCTCAACACTGCTTCAACTGAAGACAGTGTTGCGTGCACAGATGGTCTCAGCCAGCTCCTACTAAAATCGGCTGCAAATTTCCCATTGACTCAAGTGGGAGAAAAATCGTGCCTTAATAACTAATGACCCATAGTAAGTTACAAGAAAAGTAGGATATGAAATTCAGGTGTGAGGCCAGCTGCAGCTGAAGATGGCAACACTACAGAAAATAAGTTGATTGTAATGCCCAAAAGAATCAAGTAAGGGTCGGTCTGACCAAGAAACCAACCACTAGCTTTACATCAAACCATTGCACATAGCTTTTAATGGAGGAATATATCTTGGAAAGCAAGGAAGAGTGAGGTACCTCCAGATACACTCTCAGATGAAAAAAAGGAAGACAGAATTTCACTGTTAAACAATAAATGTGACAGATCATTTAAAAAAAAAAAAGTTTACCAGTATCTTCGGTTTTGAAGCACTTACGCAGTTTTACTAGCAGTTGGATTTGGATCAATGCATCTATTCCTTCTTAGCTATAACATAACTACATGGCTGTTCTAACTACATTGTCAATTGTTCCAAATCATTAAATATGCATGATAACTTCTCTGGGAACTTTCCTTGAGCACTGAACTGTGAACTCAGGTCCCAATACTGGATTGCTGATTAAGCAATTATAAAACCTTCTTACCCACAGACCTGTAGGTAGGTACCTGACCTGATAGACCTGAATGTTTTTAAGGGAACCAGATGAAATCATTACAGCCAAATGATTAGATGAAGGAGACAGAAAACTTGGATTCTGATCTTGACTTTGTTTCTCCATGAATGATCTTTGCCAAGATTTTTTTTTCCTTTCTATATAAAGATAATAACAATGACCCATCTCCCAAATACTGTATTGATCCATGACTGGTTAATATTACAAAGGAGATGGAAGATCCCCAGAAGCAAGCAGACTGCAGTTGTTACGCTATTATTAGACTATCTAAATTATTTATGGGAAAAGTCTTTCGGATTGAAGTACTTACACTTCCTGTCCACAAGTTTTCATTTTTCCTTGAAAGTTTGGAGTATACCATTATCTCTTCCCCTGTTTTGAAGTTAAGATACCGGCAGTCAGGCCCTAAGTAGTCTGTAGTGGCTTGAACTCTGCTCATTGCCGCTAGAATAGTACGCAGAAAGAAAGAAACAAGTAAGTATAGCAGCCATTTTGTCTGAAGTCAGATAGGTTACTGAAGCAGTCTGATATATATAAATACATTAAAATGTTTGTTAATACATCAATATGTGCTTTGTTATGATACTAATCCATTTATATTATCAAGTGGAAAGGAACTAATGCAAAAAGCAGCCCTATCCTGTTTTGTTTCCTATTTACTACAGACATAAAGGAGAAAAGCTCTTGTCCTATATGGGCATTTTCCAGTCCTTACTCAGCCAAGCTTTCAATGCTGAAATGCGTGTGGAGAATTAGCAAGTTCAACTACTAAAGCCAGATCTAAACAGCTAAAAAAATATTTCCCAGGCATATTTATAATCGTATATTTTAGAAATTCTAAGGTAAATCTAGTAATTATTTCAGGGGTTTTGTGCTCTATTTTGAATATATTTATCTCACAAAGAAAATAGGTAAGTTTAAGCAATATAAACCTTAAATACATTGTCAAAAACAAAGTTTCCAATTCAATTTCAATGACTTTAAATTCTCTTTGTCTCCACTCCTGTCTCCCCACAGAAATCACTGCTGATGTGCTCTGGTCAGTTTGGAGCCCATTCCACATGCTGTTCCACCAAGAGAGACTTCTCTGAACGTCCAGAACCCACTGAAGTCAGTATGGCTCCACAGGAAAATGAAGATCCATTAGCAGAGAAAATCTAAGGTCTCCTCCACTTCAGGACAAGCTATCCACATTGAAAGTGCAACAATTAAGGCTGCCAAACCAATGGAAACAGCTTCAGCTACATATGATTATGACAGGTTTCACAGTGGTAATCAATGGATAATAAATGGGGCATTATTTATCACTGCCCACTTGTGATTCAGTGGCTCTGCCTCCTGCAGAGCTATTTACTCCCCAGGAACTCCATAACTAGTTACTGCTCTTACTTCATGTTAAAGAAGACAAAATAAGTAAAGAGGATATATTAACAGTGTCTTTTGTAAGAAGGATTACAAAAAACCCAAACTAAACAGTTTGCTTACAGTAGAAAAAAACAGAGTTTTGCAGAATGGGCTGTGAATGTACTATAAACACAAGATACATAGTCTTCTTTCTCAGTTTATAGCCTACCTTTTTTTTTTAATTTCTTTTGTACCTGTAAAGAATGAGTTAAAAATACTTTAGAGCTGCTTTATACTGCCCGTTTTGAGGAAACCTGAGAAAAACTAGCTATTCAAGAGTATTTTTACTGAACTTTGATCTTTACATACTTACACAACACAATCCACAAAGCATTTTTTTCTCTTTTTGTTTGAAAAGTTTAAGCCTATTGCTTATAAACTTAGTATATTGACAACAAACATTTTCTATGGCTACTCATTTTCAGTCTGTTTCATTGGTAATTTTGACATTATGGTTTGTAATAGCTGCACACACAACATAGACTCCTTTTGAAAAAAATCTTTTTTACTTACTCTCACATTCCCGATCACCACACTTCTTCCATTCTGAAAGTACCTTTGTACTCTGCAGACTTGTTAAAAATGAAATTGCTAACAGCAAAATTCTCTGATCCAAGATCCGTGACATTTTAGATTAAATCTAGAATGCACTGAAACTGTGGAAGCTGCATCGATGTGCGGTTAGCAAGAATATTCTACATTATTTTTCTTAGCCTAACAAAACATTGCAAGTTTGCAATGAACAAAAAATTCTGTTTTCCTTCTCTCATCTGCTTAAACAGAAGTACACTATGCTAACCTGCTAACAATCTGCAAAGTCAGGTGTCCTGATTATTCACATAGGTTTAATAATTAACTATGTTCTGATAGCTAGACTGATGTTTTGAATACAAAGAAACTAGTTCCAGTCACATAAACATTTAACCTCTGTCATATGGGTCCTTTTGTACTGAGTTTGTGGAAGATTGTGTTGGGGGAAATTCAACAAGAGTTGTATTAGGATTTTTTCTGGATTGTGAATGCATTTTTAAAATACATCTTCCATTTGATTTTAAGATGGACTATCGATGCTTGTATTGATTTGCATGATTGCTAATATAGCTACTGACAATTTTCTAGCTTTTTTTGTTTAACAAACTATATTTTGTGTGCACTGATATGTTTTCAATTATTTATAGGTGGTCATTGGGAACTCGGAACAGAAATTTTTTCCACATACTCTTTTTGGAGTTTTCTCACGCACTAGATGCTACGTACAGTCCTTTAGCATGGGGAATACTTACTCAGCTCCAAAATATTTTTTTAAAGGTGCTTGGCAGTTTTCAGGCTCTTAAGACAACTAGAAAAATCTATGTGCTATCTCTACATCATATACCACAGAGCAATATACCAAAGCTAAGCAGATGGTATGTCCTGCTTTTTAAGGAATACCCTCTGTTTTTTAGCAATCTGTTACACAATACGGAGTTATAAATAATGTTTTCTCAAATACAGGTTATGCTTTAAAGTAGTAATTATGCAGGGAGTTGTACACTGGTTACATAGGTATGAAGTTGTGCTATACATGAAATCTTGCAGAGAGGTTTGCGTTAGAAGTAAGCTTTGCTTCAAAGGCTTCACATCATTGTCCTGCACTTCCTTGGTGACCTAAACACAGTATGTCTAACTTACCTACAAAAGGGGCTTCACCTTTCCTTTCCCACTCTCCTGCATGAGGTAGCCTCTCCTCGCTCCCTTCTCGATAGCACCCCAAGAATCTGCATGCCTTCCCAACCTGATAATATTTGCAGTCATATGCTTCCTCGCGGGCCTGCCCCTCCTTCAGTCCTGAGCGTGACTCATGCAGAATTCGCTCTGCTTTCTCTTTCCATGAACCTAAGCTGTATCCTACTTGCAGCATAGTTCCCCCTCCCTCCTGCTCCACAACTCAAACCTGCCAGACACTGGTGCTTAGCCTGATCTGCTGAGCCAGCAAACAGCTCATCTGCTGGAGGTTGGGAGAGAGGACACAAAGTGAGCCAGGGTCACATTAAACAGCAATGATGTCCTGCAAACAAACAAACAAAGAAAAATCACAGTAGATATGTTCTCTAACACTTTGGCCCCTTCCTTTGCCACGTGACCTAGTAGTCAGACAGGCCTATCCTATGACCTTGTCAGCTGCCTCTGCTGTTAGGTAATCCACCAGCGAGCCGTCTTGTGCACCAGGGAAAATACATATAGATCACCCCCCCCACTAGCTCCTGAGTAGCTTTGATGCAGCCCCATCCCCAGCATTAACATTGTCTCCCCTTCACTCCCCTGGATCTTGTGTTGCTTAGAGGGTCAGTGATTTGGGACCTTCCCTGGGGTCCTCAGGGTTTAGCTATAGGAGGTGAAAGGGGAGAAATGGAATACCAGGCAGCTAAAACATGACAAATGCAAAGAAATGTGGTGAGCAGAAAAGTGGGACGGGCATTTTTTTTTCATTCCCAAGTCTTTACAGATTAGGACAGACTGGTGAGAAGGAATATATAAGAAATTTATATTGGGGGGACTCTATATATACTAAGTGGTGTACAAAATCAAAAAAAGGATGCCTTTTTTTTTTATCCCACCAAGATTAACAACTGGTCAGAAGAGTCTTTCATAATGTTGCACACCAACCATGGAACATGGGACAAAACCCAATAATGGACCTAGAAAGGTTAACAGTCCCTTTTTGAGCCTGGCAACATGGAGCTGATTCATCTAAAAATGGAAAAACCAGGTATTCTGATGCCTAAAATTACGTACTTCAGCAAGTTTGTGTGGGAGAACAAACTATCAGACCCACACCTTGAGATCTGCACACTATTACTGTATTTGTCAAAATAGCTCTGAAAATGGCTCTGACTTCAGTTTCATATGGACACCCAAACTAATTCTCAAGTCTTTATGTGGAGATAAAACGTTGCAGCTCATCTTAGCTACCCAGTTTAATCTACATCTGCAATTTTCAAGTTACTCTGGGCACTGCTCATTGTGTAGCTTAGTCTCAACAATCATTCTTCTAGGTTTGAAGCTCTTAAAAGGCTGACGAGCACTGCTCTGATCTCTGTTCTGTGTTATTTGTTCCTCTAGTTAACTTCAATAATAAATCTCATTCATATCAAATATTCTTTTCTTCTGGGTGTAAATCCTATGCTTGCAGATGTTATACAAGCACAACTTCTAATCACCTTTGAACTAAAGTCAAAGGTAAAGATTCATGAAGTTTATCATAGCTGGCTTCCAAAGGGCAACGTTGGAAGCTTTACAGCAGATAGAGTGAGACTTCAGTTAATTTCTGTTCCGCAGAAGTGAAGCAACAAATGTGAGTACTATTACGCATGCAAAGACAATGATAATGAAAAAGTAAGAAAGATCTATTTCCAACAGCTTTCTTTAGGATGAAACTATTAACTCTTTATTTGCAATGACATCTTAGTAGCTTTAACTACTGACCTAGAAATGCAGAGATCCCTTATGATGTATTAAAATTCACAGAAGGATCAACTCAGAATTAATGGTGTAATTTAAATAAACCAAGTAGTATGGCACACTGGATGGCTCTTTTAAGACACGGCTTTGTGTAAGTAAAAGAGATGTTGCATTTCCTGAACTATTCAGTATCTGCATTAACAATAAAGATCCCAAAACGAATCGTAAGTTGGTAAAAGTACTTCTAAGTACATTAAAGTCAACATCTATTTTATAATAACAGTATATACAGCTTTGATTATATTCTTATGATAGCACCAAAAGGCTCCATACAGAATGTAGGGTTTCACTGTGTAGAACTAATGCATAGAAGAATATAGTCCATGGCAAAAGCACTTTAAAAATATAGTTCTCTTGACTTAGGATGTTTGGGTGAAAATACAGATCAACTTTTACATTGAATCAAATGTCATGCCAAAAAGATTTTCTTTTTTTTTAACGAGTATCTTTCAAAAATTAGTAAGTCAAAGGAAGAAAAGGAACACTAATTCACTCTTCCAGTCTGACAAATCTAAACAGGTAACAGTCAGTCATCACCCAGATTTAAACCAACTTTTTCAGCCAGTATAACAAATAGCAAGAAAAAGCCATTACTGCTTCCCTATTACAAAAATGGTTACAAGCATGACAGTGCATTTCTAGAAAGTCATGGAACTTGTGACTTAGGTTACTTTGAATCTTGGTAATACGTTTCCAAGCTTTGAATGCCTCACATTTTGCCATATAATAGAACACTGTCACCTAATAACGACTGCCTGAACAAGGCTTGTGGTAAAACACAGGTTTGCTACAGAACTGAGATGGGGAGGGAGGAAAGTCTAAAAGAGCAAAATTATATCCTCCAAAACACAGATCTCTCTATATTACTCATACACCACTGACACGGCATTTGATCCCATCATAAATACATGTAGTGTCAGAGAAATACTTCTTTGAGCAGGGAAACTCATTTTAAAGGTCTGGGACATACATAAAACGAATAGGTTTGTCTGGTTGTACCACAGTAATTGCTACAAAATCAGCAGCTGCACCCAAGTCTCAAAATTGTAACTGGCACCTAACCACAAGACCATTGCTTTCCTGATAAACAAAAGGTGCTCTAGAAACCTATTTGCAAATTTACTGCTTTTGGAAATTAATTTTGCTGGAGGGGAGATGTAGTTCACTAATACCTACTTTCTGCAGAAAAATTACATTTAGGTTTCCTTTGAATACACACAATGACGCTGTTCTAAGCACAAAGACATCACCTTAAGTAAAGGAGCAGGAATTTGAAGAGGTGTATGTTTCAGTTTATAACTAATGAACAATCTGCGTAAAATCTACTCTCACAAGGACTCCGAGTGGAGCATCATGGAAAAAAACCATTCTTGGAGCCTTCCAGTTTATCTGTGCATCAGGACTGAAGAAAAAGACAACAAGTAAATGGTATAGAGTCGGTGCATAGTATAAAAAGCTCTAAGAAAACCCCAACCAACCAACCAACCAACCGCCTTCTAAAGTTACACTTATAGCTGGAAGGGACCATCTGATGGAGGCACTCCACAAGACAGGCATAGAGCATACATGCTATGTTGCCCACTCACATAAACTATCTATCTCTACTTCATTCTTAGTTTTTCCCCTTTTCTAGTGTTCCTTTTTCCACATTACTTGAGTGAAAAGAGAACAAGGTATTTTTTCTTTGATGTCTACTCACCACTATGGGGAAGGGAAATAAGAAAACATTTTAATGATTTCCTACCCCTATACTATCTGCACTTAATTCTCAGAAACCCCAAACTGTTGCGTCAAATTTCTTTACTGAAAGAGTGGTTAAACATTGGAACAGGCTGCCCAGGGAAGTGGTTGAGTCCCCATCCCTGGAGGTATTTAAAAGACGTGTAGATGAGGCGCTTAGGGACATGGTTTAGTGGGCATGGTGGTGTTGGGTCGATGGTTGGACTTGATGGTCTTAGAGGTCTTTTCCAACCTTAATGATTCTATGATTCTAAATTCAGTCTTGAAATTGTCAGCTATTTGAAACAGTAGACTGGGAACAGAGGAAGGAAATTGCACCCATGGTCTCAGCCCTATCCTCAGCTGTGAAATTGTTTCAGGGTAAGAGGATGGGACCTTGAGGGCAAA